AACGAAACATGACCTCAACTTGGCAGAGATACTAAACATTCACTACAGCATTAAAGGCAGGGAAAGAAAGCCCATTTATCACTTTATTTAACAGCCTTTTCATTCTTGATCCCACACTGTCATATCATTTTATCACACTGTTTTTATACTGGACTTAACAGAGGGTTAGATAACAAGAAAAATGTCCGTACAACAATTGCATGGTTAGCTTAGCTTAGCATTAAAGAATAGAAACCGCACCAGGATCACTTAAGCTGGCAAATTATGTTCTATAAAAACTGTTTAATCATAATGAGGTAAGTAAGAACGTTTTATCTGGTGATATAAACAGCACCAGAAAACTGCTTAAAAATAGATGACCTGCAGCTAGCTTGAAGTTTGAAATTGTTTTCATCTGCAAGAGTAGCTAATTTCGGCTAGTTAGTAAATGTTAAGTACCACACAGGTTTTCCTGTTGTTCATATTCTGAGAGATTCATATCAAAGCTCCCTCTGTGCTTGATTGTTTCTTGGTCAGGCTTGCTGGTCTCCAGTGAAGTGACTGATAGCTATCTAGCTGCAAAATCTTTTCAAACATGCCAAAGCCAGGTAAGATATACAAGTTGTGTTTGTCTACTCCACATTTACAGTCCAGGTAAGATACCTACAAGTGTGCTGAATCAAAATTGAAAAGGGTAACTGCTAATACACACTTCCTTTATTCTTTAATAGACCTCATTTTAAAATCTAACATTGGTGCAGAGTCAAAGGTAATGGGATTAAAAATAAAATCACTACTGAAATCAAACAAACTACTACACTGACAGAAGTTACACATACAGTTACTATAAGGAAGCAAATAGTACATATTCTGTCAGCTCGAAGGTTTTGCATATCAGGATTTAACAACAACAAGTACATCCCATGATTCAGTAGCTTGTAGAACCACCTTTAGCAGCCGCAAATTACAGGGAGTGCAGAATTATTAGGCAAATGAGTATTTTGTCCACTTCATCCTCTTCATGCATGTTGTCTTACTCCAAGCTGTATAGGCTCGAAAGCCTACTACCAATTAAGCATATTAGGT